CTAACAATAAATGCTCAGTATTATTTGGAAGCAAAAAACAAAAAAATTCCAAAAAGTTTCAGAAGTTAGTTTCCAAAGTATGACAAACACATTTAACTACCTAAAAGTCTTCAGCCTTGCCTGGCAGTTTGCTGTGTCAAATTCAAGGTACATGGGCAAAGATGGAGGCAGTTTCATTTTTTAAATTGACTTTGAAAGTCTTAATGATAAATGTACATTTCATAAAAATATGAACCTTAGTATAATGGTCTGTTCTCTTTAGACAGATGGCACTCAATTTATGTTCTACATGATTGTACCCCAGAATTTCAGACTTAAGATGTCTGTCATAAATATAGTTAATCTATTATTTTATGAGGGATACTAAATCTCAGCCTCCTGGATTTGGATAGATGTATGCCAAATTTATGATGGCGCTTGTCTATAAATGACAGATGCTGCCAAACCAGAAAACTATCATTTTTTCTTACTCAACAGCACAAGGTCCTATTGGCGGAGACAGAAAGGGAGGAAGAGGGAGTTACGAAGACCTTGTTTGCTAATTGATGGAGTCCTGCGGGCAGTCAGTGGAAATGAGAATTGTCATTTGGAAAACCTGGCCCCATTTATAAAAACACATAAAAACTGTGAAACACACAGGGGAACCCATAAAAATGACGAGGCGGGGGTTTGCATTTGTATCCTTGGCAGAAAACCCTTCGACAAAATTGAAACTGCTCTTTCATAAGACAACAGGGTGATCATAAAAAGCTGAACCTGCAGCCTTTCCAGGCAAATCATACTGATCAGCTAGATGATAACTGCTCTGGGTTCACACCCAAGAGATTGCCATCATGCAAACGGACAACATATTGAAAACCAAAATGAGCTGTTTTGAGGTATCCTATTTTCTTTCCTTCCTTATGTGTTTTCTGACACTGTTATCTCACAGCATTCGTGGTATGGTCACAGGTATGGGATAAATAAAACAACCTCCCCTGTGGGTATATTTTAGATGGAATATTGCAAAATTCTACTGAAAATTTGGACAGTGTTCAGGACAATTCAACTAGACCCTTCAGGAGGCAGGTCAAGGCTCGATACCCTTCCCAGTGTTGTTGACCTCTATCTCAGTCAGTGTGTTTGGCTTAGACACATAAAGTCTACAGTTGTCAGGCTGGAGCTTTGAGAACATTTATCATTTACCTGAAATGAGTGTTTCCATTCAAACGTGCCCTTGAAAAGATCTGTAACCTCTAAAGCTTTGCTCTAGTAGGTTAAATGCTTCAGACAACATACTGTGTGGGAACTAAAGATTATCAATAAAATGAAGCCTTAATGGGCTTTTCAATGCTATAGTTCCTACTGAAAAATATCAATAATCAGCAAGCAATTTAAAAGTAATATATGGTCTTACTCATTGATTCTTTAAAAAGTGGTTTAGCGGTTTGACTTTGCCCACTGGGATACTTGTATTTCCTCCCCCAAGTCAGAGAGAGAAGTTTAGAAGTAATGGGAATACGGAATGTGCATAACAAGAAGCCCTGAGTTCCTACTCTGACTCTACTGGAATATGAGCTATGAACCTCACACAGGCCATTTAACCCTTCCAAGACCCCAGGTTCTTCATTGTTATCATATTTTTGGGAGCAGCTTGCAGGTGATAACCATTATTTTTCTTTGCAGTCCAAATATACAACACAATAAAAAAAACACTCTAGGTTGGAAGTTATTTGAGGGAAGTATCTTTCTGTTCCCTGTTGTACCCCAGCATCTGGCAAATATACCAATACGCTACAAGATCTGTCCAGAAAAAGTCCAGCCATTGTTAATATGATGAGAATGGTTTGCATCACATCGATGTAACCTGGCAGTGAAGGAGAGTGGACGGGGATGCACATATATGAACAATGACTTCACTGTACTAGTCAGTGTGGGCAGTAAATATCCATTGAGTGAGCATATGTACTGTGTGACTATAGCATTCAAAATGACTGAGCGAGTAGAGCAACAAATCTGCATCAAATTTTGCATTAAGCTTGAACATTCCTCTGTGGAAACTATTCAGAGGATTCAGAAGGCTGCAGCTATGGGCACCTGATGACTGGCAGCTTCATCCTGAAAACATGCCCACTCATGGATCACATCTCATGTGGAGTTTTTGGTGAAACATCAAATCACCCAGGTGACTCGGACCCTATAGCCCATATTTGGTGCCCTGCAACTTCTGGCTTTTCCCAAAACTAAAATCACTTTTGAAAGGGAGGACATTTCAGACTGTCAATTAGGTTAAGGAAAATATGACAGGGCAGCTGATGGTGATTAGGAAAACTGTGTGAGATCCCAAGGTGCCTACTTTGAAGGCAATGGAGGCATCATTGCTCTGTGTCTGATGTTTCTTGTATCTTGGATCTTCTTCAATAAATGTCTCTTTTTCATAAGACATGGCTGGATACCTTTTGGAAAGATCTCCTATACGACTTAGAATAGGGATATATATTTGTTGAGTGAAAAAAAATGGGTATAAAGTTTATTATATAAGTTAATGAAAGATCAATACTAATTTCAGCTCTACTAGGTACAGTGTTGTTGAGAAGGTCATGCAAAAACATATATGTGACTGGGTTTGAGGAACACCTCAAATTTAAGGTGTTCCTATTATTATAGTTCAAGCAGAACATGTTGGTTCCATAATCTTTCCTCTTAATTACATTTATAAAAATATCTGTAGCATTTTAAATCATTCCTTCAGCTTCCATGTGTTTAGTCAGCAACTGATTAAGACTGTTTAGCTCTAAATAGCTTTATAGACTCTGAAGAGCTAGAAATGGATTTTTTCCCATCTTGATATCTAATTTTTTTTTTAAAATTTACTGCTAAAGACTAGACATATGGACCATTAGATTGACTATCACAATATTTTATCATTAGGTTGATTATTATAGTATTTTATTATTTTCAAGAAATAACATTTTTCAAAGGCTCTGGTTTTTGTTTTTTGGTTTTTATTTTTTGTTTTTTTTGAACCTGTTATGAGAGGTTAAATGCTGTCACACACAAAAAATCCATTTGATGTATAGAGCATATTATCACAGAGAGGTGTATTGTCATATGGCATTATGACACTTGAACTCCAGGGAGAAATCTGGGTAAAGCGTCTGGCCAATATGTTCTCACCATCTTTCTAACGATGCCTAATGCTTGCTGTGTTTTGACCCCAATTCTCCCAAAGCACATTTCTTCTCCCTCCTACCATGTTCTGAACTCCCATTAATGCATCATTAAAAGTTGGGATCGATCCTAGGAGACCATAAAGCCATTTCCTTGGATTTTACATTTAACTTTACGCCAACTTCTAAAAAGTGAACAGGATAGTTATTCTTACTTAACTCCCTTTAATGAAACATATTTTCTTTCTAATCAAGTGTGTAATTTAGATAATAAAATCTTTGACAGAATATTGTGTCACAGAGGCAGCAATAACCTATAAAAAATAAAACCAGACAGGAACTCAGGAAATGATGGATCCTGTTCTTCTAAAGAGTGGATAACCTCCGGCAAATAACTGTCCACAATGGGGACTTTGACTCAGTTTGCTATTTTGTAAACTGGAGATAATATTTGACCCTACCATCTGATAGACTGGGATTAAAAATTAATTAAATAATATACATAAAAGGCTTTGTTCTTTAAAAAGGGAGAAGCATGATATAATGATCCAGTATTTACTATCTATTTATTAGATAACATGATTTAGTGATTCTATAACATAAAGAACAAAAAATCTTTATTACAGAATTTAGGTTAGCTTACTCCTTCTAGGCTGCCAAGCTTTTGGAACAGGCATTTATGGGGCCTAACTAAGAATGATCCCTTCCTCCATAGTCTTTTTGTCTGAGTAGGCTTTTCTGAAACTTCCTCTTACAGTAATGGATTTGTTCTTCTCCAAAGGCTCTGGGAAGCCACAGGAAAGTATTCTATAATCTTTTCCTCAAAATTTACAGTGATTTGAAGAGCAGAAGAGAATCAAAAGAGAAGTATTTGTGTGTGTGGTGTTTTTGTGTGTGTGTTTCCAACAACAGAGATGTCCCTAATGAGGGAGCTAAACACAGAAAGGGATATATTATCTTAGTCTGCTTTAAGAGACACTAATCCTCAACTAGTCACCGAAACAAGATGACTCATCCATCTTGGGCCCTGAGGGGCAGATGTGAGTGTGTGACAGCCTATTAAAGATCCAATTTCATGGCGTACATGCTAGAAAAAATGAATTTTTTCTCTTTTCTCTGAATCATTTTGAACTGACTCAAAAAAACAGATGATTCACTGGGACTGTGAAATATGGACTCTTCTTCAAAGGTCCTTCCACTAGTAGACCATTTCCAATTACATAAAGTTCTCCTGTTATTTAATTCATTACTCTGTGAACAGGTCCCTTAAAATCCTTAGCTCATTTGTAATTCTGAGGGGAGCTCTACAGAAGTCTTCAAAAATCAAAATCTTTTATTATTGAACCCATTTTCAGATTCATTTAATAATGCCAACCTCTCAGAAAACTTCACCATTTTGCCCCTCCTTTCCCCTTCACTGTGGTAAAAGAATATAAAAACATCTATTAGTAGGCAAATTTAAGAACTCCTTCACTGGAAAAGTCTATAGTAAAATCCAAATATAAAATGAATAGAAAGGAAAAATAAAGTCAGCATCTTAGATCCATTTCATGATTTTTGTCTATATACATTGTGACTGAGTAGCCCATATATACATATAGATATATATATATATATATATATATTTACACACACATATATACTTAAATGTATATATTTAACAACATGGAATGGTAACATATCACATGTTTAGATTCCGTGCAAACACATAACCTCCTGTGAAGGAAACATATTAATATTATAAAAACAAATCATGGAGAAAACATGCAACAGCTGAGTGGAGGAGAATGGGATTGAGGCAGGGGACCAGGAGGAACACAAAAGATGTAAAGAACAAAAAGTGTCATTGACCTGATTTGTCAGAGCTGTTGCCTGTGATTGGAGTGATGGAGCAGCTGGTATTAGCCTTTGCGCTGTCCTTGGAAGAAACCATTTTGGGTTTGTTTTTCGTTGCCTCTAGTGCTTTGACCTTCTTGGCATGTTTACTTCCTTTGTAGTGGGCCTCGGCCTGGCTCTACAAAGGAGAACAAATCAGGCTCATTTTTTTGCTACTTACAAACACCACAATGGATGATCATGCAGGAAAAAATACATTCAATCATAGGCAACATAGACATTTACCACTCAGCACTCAACTACGTTTTGGCATTTAATGAAGTGGTAGAGCAGTATCTAAGAGGTTTTTGCATATTGAAACCTTCTCTATAACACAGAAGACCTGTGTCTTTGAAAACCAGAGGGCAACACAGCCAGAGAAAAATTGTGACGAAGGTAGGCTTTGTCATCCCTGCCTTCCACCACTGTCTGTTGAGGTTACTTTTCAAACATTTGGCTTTTAGCAAGCTGCTTTGGGTGTCCTACCCAGACACGTCCTTCCACAACCATTCCATTTTGTTTCCACCTTCAGCTAAAAACCTGTCTGCCCTGAATCTACTTTCTTCTGCACTCTGTTCTGAGAGCAAGTGATGTAACAAAGGAACTTGCTAGTGAGTGAAGATGGCACTACATTTTGGAGTCATTTACATGTGTTTCATGCAAGATTTTGATGATTCCAGCTCTAACAATAGATGACATAAGGCACAAAGAAGGTAGGGACAACCCTGGTTTCTGATCTCAGATGTGATTCTGAAGTCAAAGCAGTTATTGTTACAGTCATGTATACATGAAGCATGGGTGGAACTGGGACTTCAATACTAGATCAAAAGGAAGAAAAGAGCTCAAGACAAATGACTACTAAAAACCTTTAAAAAGTTTAAAATTAGTTAAGTTATAATAATAATGACTAATAGTTTTAAGTCTTTGCCAAGCCTATCTCTAAATGTATTACATATATTAGCGCATGTCGTCTTCATAGTAGCCTGTAAGGTAGGATGATTAGTAAGCACTTTACAAAAAACAAAACAAAACTGGCACAGAGGTGTTAAATAACTTACCACAAGTCACATAGGTAGGCGAAGAAGCCATTTTCCAGATTGAAATGTTTAGATATATTATCCCTATTTAACTATATACCCACATACTCACACTAATGTGACATTATAGTTTTATTAGGAGTGAAAAATTATACAAAAAGAAACACTGTTTTAATGACTCAGTGAAAGATTATATTTTAACAGAAGTTTCTATGAGTAGGGAATACCTATTTAATTTGTGGGAAATGAACTAGCATAATGCGTTAGGCCTGGTCGTTCTGGTGAGTAGCAAAGTCCTGCTTTTTAGGTATGTAACAATTTCTACAAGCTATTAGGGGACATCTACATATCAGAAGACCTTCTCTTCTTTCCAAGCATACTAAATAGTGAGATATTACTTTAGCACCCTTTGGCTAAAGAAACATATGGTTCTCAAACTAGAACCTCCTAGCACAAGATAAGCAGAGTGTCATTTCCTCATTACTATTTCTTGGCCTCGATGCTGAAACTTGACAGCATCAATTAGCACTTAGGATAAGTGACATCTCACTGGATGCTAAGATGGAAAGAACTGTCCATAGCCATGATCCACTTGCCTTTTGAGTTCTGGGGCAGGGAGAGAAGTGTAACAAGGGTTCTTAGCTTCTACTGACTGCTGCTCGGGAACGACTATGGAATAAAGACAGTGGCAGGCACCATTCACTCCCATTTGGCTTCCTTCCAATTCCCCTGTGACATTCTTGGAAGCAGCACTTTGCTATCCTCACTACTGTATCGGAGGCAGTGTCAACAGCTTCTAAATCCTTGGCAAATCTTCAAGTAAAACTGAGATGCCGTTAAACAGTAACATGATTAACCTGACTTCATTATCTAGGAATCTCCTTAACTGAGAAGTGAAAGAAACAAGGGCGAGAGCCAGAAAACCCATGAACTAGGCAACACAATCAAGCACAATCAACAATGGCTCTTGTATCACTTCTAAGAGACTTGGCTGACCAAATTAGCTTACTTTCCTCAATGACTAATCAGCAGACACACATTTGTCTAGCTCTAATGGCTTGCTTTCAGCTTCCCCGCCAAAGCACTGCTGTGCCCCCAACGAGAGTGATCAAAACAACTGCTTGCCAAGAATTGCCAGAATTGGAGAGTTGCCTAAACCACCATTCTGACCTCCACACAAGAATTCGCTGGTCTCTAGGTTCTTCTCTCGGAGGTCACTCTGGCAGCTGCTTCACTGTCTCCTGGTAGAGGACTAGCATTGACAGGAAATGACACCCTGGAACTCTTTCTTCCATTCCTCTCCATCTTTTTTGATGAAGTTGTTCTCTTTCTCAAATCTTCTATGTTTCTCAGGACTCAATTTGTCCAAACAAATAAGATAAATAATAATATAATATATTGCTTTAAAAATAAAAATTTAATAATGAGAAATTTTAAAATTCATTGTATTCCCTTCCTAGTTTTCACCTTATTTTGCATTTGTGCTTCAGAGAAGTGGCTAAGACCTTGAACCAGGATGTTATAAATGTGTTTATTTTGTAGGGAAACTCACAAAGTACCTGGGGAAAGTCAATGTCACTGGAAGTCTTCAACTATTTATTTACCAATTAAACCAGTTTCTTTCTTCCTCTCTCCCCCCTCTCTCTTTCTCCCCTCCCTCTCTTTTTTCTTTCTCTCTTTCTCTCTCTCTTTCTTTCTTTCTCTTTCCTCCCTCCCTCTCTTTCCCTTCCTCCCTCTTTCCTTCCTTCCTCTTTCTGTTCTTTCTTTCTCTTTCTTCTTTTTCCCTTTCTTCCCTTCTTTCTTTCCTCTTTTTCTTTCTTTCTTTCTCTCTCTCTCTTTCTTTCTTTCTTTCCTCATTTCCTCCCTCCCTCCCCCCTTCCTTCCTTCGTTTTCTTCCTTCCTTCTTTCTTTCCTTCTTTCTTCTTTCTTTCTTTCCAAAAAGCAATTACAACTGTTCCCTTAATTAAAAAAAGCTCATCATTACAATGATTGGCATCTTTTTCCCCTGAGATAGATTTCAATGTGTTAAAACACTGTTATATGGAAAATAGCAGACGTCAGGTAATTTTCAGAAAAACTCAGTACACTAAATTTCCAAATAAAACAGGTGTCAAATGAGCTAACATAAAAACAGGCTAACCTAACAAGGGGAAAATCTGATTATTTATTCCACAAAGAATTATTTAGCACCTGCCATGTGCTAGACACTGTGAAAGATTAAAAGCAAAGACCCCTACTTGCAAGAATGGTAGTTGGAAGAAGAGATATGTATGCTAATAACTAAGAGAGTGGAATTATAGGATGGGTGGTAAAGGGTAGCAAAGGCTTATGGGCATCAGAAGAGAGGTAAATCTCTTCGGATTGTTGGGGATCATGAGAGTTTCATAAAGAAAGCAAATGAGAGCTGGGCTCTGCTCCAGGAACAGAGTTCTGAAGTGGCAGGATGAAAGGGGAGCTATTTCAGGCAAAGTGAAGACAGCATCCTAGGGCAGTGAAGTCCTGTGAACTGTGCAATGTTCCCCAAGGCACATATGCTTTTCAGAGTCACTGGAACGCAGAGAGAGATAAAAGGAACAACAGGGAAGGGCTGCATGTAGTACTACTTCAAAAATCATCTCCTGCAAAACAACAAACATAATAGAGTTCTAAAATTAAAAAGGAGTTCTATTTGTAGGTATCTTGTATAGATGGTTGTGAAGATGTTGCTTTTACATGACAGATCTTATCCTGTGCTCCAAACTATAATCCTGTAAGAACAATTAAATTATTTATATTGAAGCTTTCATAATTGAGATAAAAGCATGGTATTTAAGCCATCTTTTTAAACTGATCAAGAAACAAACTAAAGATTGCTGAGCAATAGCTAATTACTGGAATCTTTGTTTTAACATAAGACTATTTTTAACTATTAAAATGCTCTTTGCATATATTTGTTGCACTGACAAGATCACACATTCTCAAAGACAAAGCTACAATATAAGATGCACTGAGAAAAAGGATTACTTAAAGACTTTTTGCTGATATTTACAAATATAAAGTCTACAATCACAGCAATGATAAACTACTGGCTTTGATATTCACTTCACCCAATCTTCATCTATTGGGATCTGTTGAAAACAAGATTTAGACAAAATTATAACCACTATGAGATTTTTAGCTTAAAAAGATACAATTTCTTTGCTAATTTCTAATTTATAGCTTAAGGTTTCAATGGCCTGTCCAGAGCCCTTACATTGCATCACTGTCTGGGAGCAGAGGGGCACCCACATATACAATTCAGTGAGCATGGTGACTTGGATTCCTGCAAAGCCATAGTTCTGGCTATGGCATGTCCTATTTACTGGCTTTATAGAATATATGTAAAAAACACACACAGAGAAAACCTCCATCAACTCCAAATATTTCTATACCACTAAAGAGAAAAGTAGTAGCTTCTAGGAAGAAAATGATGTACACTCTAGACTACTCTCTTCGGGCCTAATTAAGATTCTATCAAATATCATGAGACAGAAGGAGAGTTGTTGGGATGGAGCAGATTTAAAATGTCACTATATGAACACATGAGCATTACATTATATTCATTCACATTATACACACTTTCCATGTAGGTAAATTAACTAATTTCTTAAAACAATAAGATCTTTAAGTAAGCTCCAAGTTAATTTTCCAGTGTAGCCAATTAGTCAGCAAGAGTCTTGGCGCTCATATTTCCAGTGTATGATTCACTTGTGAAAGTCCTTTATATGTGGAGATGTGGAGAAACTATAAACCGACCTAATAACTATGACAGGATTTACATGACAAATTGGAAAAACACTTAAGTTTGAGTTTAAAATCATATGGAATACAGCCAAAAGTGGCTTTTTGTTAAAAAGGGCTTTTTAAAAATAAAATTGGTTCTTGTGATGCAAGTGATCTTGAGTTCCAAGTGATCAAAATTTTGTCTAATTTTCCCAATGAGTTTTATATTTCAATTATGTGAAGGTGGAGTCTTAATTTTAGGAGATTTTCAGCAATCTAAGATTCTTTCCCTGGATATTCAAACATATAGCTTATGCTTCCCATTTAGGATTGAGGAGAGCAGGGCATAAAAGAGAGTTAT